CTATCTGCATGTACCTAAAGGTGTGTGTGTGTGTGTGTGTGTTTGTGTGTGCAGTGTAATGAGTCTATCTGCATGTACCTAAAGGTTTGTGTGTGTGTGTGTATGTTTGTGTGTGCAGTGTAATGAGTCTATCTGCATGTACGTAAAGGTGTGTGTGTGTGTGTGTGTTTGTGTGTGCAGTGTAATGAGTCTATCTGCATGTACCTAAAGGTGTGTGTGTGTGTGTGTGTGTTTGTGTGTGCAGTGTAATGAGTCTATCTGCATGTACCTAAAGGTGTGTGTGTGTGTGTGTGTGTGTGTTTGTGTGTGCAGTGTAATGAGTCTATCTGCATGTACCTAAAGGTGTGTGTGTGTGTGTGTGTGTGTTTGTGTGTGCAGTGTAATGAGTCTATCTGCATGTACCTAAAGGTGTGTGTGTGTGTGTGTGTGTGTTTGTGTGTGCAGTGTAATGAGTCTATCTGCATGTACCTAAAGGTTTGTGTGTGTGTGTGTCTATGTTTGTGTGTGCAGTGTAATGAGTCTATCTGCATGTACCTAAAGGTTTGTGTGTGTGTGTGTCTATGTTTGTGTGTGCAGTGTAATGAGTCTATCTGCATGTACCTAAAGGTGTGTGTGTGTGTGTGTGTGTGTGTTTGTGTGTGCAGTGTAATGAGTCTATCTGCATGTACCTAAAGGTGTGTGTGTGTGTGTGTGTGTGTTTGTGTGTGCAGTGTAATGAGTCTATCTGCATGTACCTAAAGGTGTGTGTGTGTGTGTGTGTGTGTGTCTATGTTTGTGTGTGCAGTGTAATGAGTCTATCTGCATGTACCTAAAGGTTTGTGTGTGTGTGTGTGTGTGTGTTTGTGTGCAGTGTAATGAGTCTATCTGCATGTACCTAAAGGTTTGTGTGTGTGTGTGTGTGTGTGTGTGTTTGTGTGTGCAGTGTAATGAGTCTATCTGCATGTACCTAAAGGTTTGTGTGTGTGTGTGTGTGTGTGTGTGTGTGTGCAGTGTAATGAGTCTATCTGCATGTACCTAAAGGTTTGTGTGTGTGTGTGTGTGTTGTGTGTGCAGTGTAATGAGTCTATCTGCATGTACCTAAAGGTGTGTGTGTGTGTGTGTGTGTGTGTTTGTGTGTGCAGTGTAATGAGTCTATCTGCATGTACCTAAAGGTTTGTGTGTGTGTGTCTATGTTTGTGTGTGCAGTGTAATGAGTCTATCTGCATGTACCTAAAGGTCTCTGTGTGTGTGTGTGTGTGTGTGTTTGTGTGTGCAGAGTAATGAGTCTATCTGCATGTACCTAAAGGTTGTGTGTGTGTGTGTCTATGTTTGTGTGTGTGTGTGTTTGTGTGTGCAGTGTAATGAGTCTATCTGCATGTACCTAAAGGTTTGTGTGTGTGTGTGTCTATGTTTGTGTGTGCAGTGTAATGAGTCTATCTGCATGTACCTAAAGGTTTGTGTGTGTGTGTGTGTGTGTGTTTGTGTGTGCAGTGTAATGAGTCTATCTGCATGTACCTAAAGGTTGTGTGTGTGTGTGTGTGTGTTTGTGTGTGCAGAGTAATGAGTCTATCTGCATGTACCTAAAGGTCTCTGTGTGTGTGTGTGTGTTTGTGTGTGCAGTGTAATGAGTCTATCTGCATGTACCTAAAGGTCTCTGTGTGTGTGTGTGTGTTTGTGTGTGCAGTGTAATGAGTCTATCTGCATGTACCTAAAGGTCTCTGTGTGTGTGTGTGTGTGTTTGTGTGTGCAGTGTAATGAGTCTTTCTGCATGTACCTAAAGGTCTCTGTGTGTGTGTGTGTGTGTGTTTGTGTGTGCAGTGTAATGAGTCTATCTGCATGTACCTAAAGGTTTGTGTGTCTATGTTTGTGTGTGCAGTGGGCGTCACTCATTAGTGCTCTGATAACTGAAACAAGTGTTTAACAACTATGTCATCAGAATTCATCAACATGATACCATATATATAGCCATTCTTTGTGTTGCACTTTTTAGTTAGTATCTTCCTTATAGTATTTTGGGTTTTGGGGGTCTGTCTTGTCTTTCGTCTAGTGTTTGGTAACCCTTGTCATGTCTTTTACCCCAGTTATCCCTCTGCATGTCTGTCTCTGTTTTCCCCTGCTCTCTCTCCCTGCCTGTGCCTCATTAGCCTCATGTCTTTCACCTGCGTTGCTCCCGCCCTGCTCGTTAGTCCCTGTGTGTATATATACCTGGTGTTTCTGTCTTGTCTTTGTTGGGTCATTGTTTATGGTCACCCAGTGTTGCAGTTTGTTCTCGTGTCTTCAGCCTTACTCGCCGTGTCTCTCTGTTACCCTGCTCATTTTTGGATTCTGGTTTTCACCCTTTTGGATTTCTGTTGGACAGCCTTTGTTTTTGGACTCAGTCAATCAGCCACTCTGTTTGTAAGTGTGCTCGTCTTTTGTTGTATTAAAACCCTTCTGAACTGTTCCTGCTGGCTTTCGTGTCCTGCATTTGGGTCCTCCAACCTACTACCTGCTTCACCATACAAATCCGTGACAATTAGTGATGCAAACTTGTCCTTTTAAGCTGATGAGGAGACGTTTCTGTTTGGATGTTAATGTGCAAATAAAATGCAGCTCAGAAGGGAGGAGGTTTCTCATGCTGCCTATTTTTATATTAATGTCTACAGATAAATGTCAGAAGCTGTGAAATGAAGACACAAACATGAACAGTCGTATCTAGAATGATTCTGATCACATTAACAGGGTTTTAGGGGTGATGCCCAAAACATGCTGTGCCCTCACTGTAAAATCACTGTGGAGCAACAGAACCAACCAAATGACTTTCTCCAGATCTAAAGCTTGTAGTTCCTCCAGCAGGCTGATCTTTGGCTGTTGGTTATTTATTATCTTTTCCAACTATTTGTTCAGAGATATGGTGAAAATAACGGCCCAATATGATGTGAAATTACATATTTTTCATTGGAGGAAGACCTCCAAACACAAACATTCATGTAAAGCTCACATTAAACTGGGAAAACACTGCAGTTTTAAGCTGTTCTAAGGTGCATCACATGCTCATGGGCACAAGAACTAAAATTTTGCTACTATTCCATCCTAGGAGAAACACTGTTCTATTATCTCTCCAGACTCTGTCAGGCTGCTGGACGGGACTAGTCTGTGCTCAGGCAGACTGGAGGTGAAGTCTAACCAGTCTAACCAGTGGTGGTCCTCAGTGTGTGAAGCTGACTTTGACCAGCAGGATGCAGAGGTGGTCTGTAGGGAGCTCGGCTGTGGGGCTCCTTCAGTCCTCCAGGGGGCGCTCTATGGAGAAGTGGAGGCTCCGATGTGGACCAAAGAGTTCCAGTGTGGAGGCCATGAGTCTGCTCTCCTGGACTGTAGAAGCTCAGGCTCAGCTAGAAACACCTGCTCACCTGGAAAAGCTGTTGGACTCACCTGCTCAGGTAGAAGAGGAGCTGCAGCTTTGATTTGCTTCATTTCTCTTCTGATGAAACTCACTTTATTGTTTTACTGATGACTCTCTGGTTTCTGTTCAGAGCCTGTCAGGTTGGTGGGAGGAGCCAGTCGCTGTGCAGGAACACTGGAGCTGAAACAGGGAGACTGGAGACCAGGGAGTTACTCTGACTGGACCCTGAAGACAGCAGCTGTTGTCTGTAGAGATCTGGACTGTGGCTCTGCTGTTTCTGTAGGACAGAGAGAGGAGTCCTCAGTCAGACCTTTATGGTGGATCAGCTCTGACTGTGTTCAGTCTGGATCTGCTCTGAGGGAGTGTGCAGAATCAGGTTCCTCTTCCTCCATCCTGGATCTCACCTGCTCAGGTAAACCCATCAGTGACATCATCTATGACATCATGTATGACAGTAATGTCTCCAGTGTGTCCCCCTCCTCTGTCTCAGTGTCTCCCCATTGGACTGAACTGTAAAGTTCTCCAGGACAGTGACGTCCTAAAGTGTAGAGAGGTGGGCTTGTTTCTGGAAGCTTCACCTGACAGGACACACCTGGAGGAACCTGTCTGTCTGTCTGTCTCTGTGTTTGGGGACGTCCCACCAGGTGGATCCAGTCCCTCCTTTTACAGTCTGTCATCGCTCTGCTCCATGTTTGTTACCCGTGTCAGACCTGTGACATCACTTCCTTTTTCAGGGGCCATTTTGTTTGTTGACTCTACTGTCAGTGGTGACGACACCATCTCCTTGGACTGTAGCCAGCTCCACATATCACACCAGAAGGACTGCACAAACTCACAATAAAAAAACATGTGATATCAAAATCAGTCCCATTCATACCGCCATCTTCATAGTTTTAACCATGTCAGTCTTCCTTATATAACGGAATTTATTTCTCCACATGAAGTTAAAATTGATTGTATTCACTGCTTTGATCATACTCACTGATATGGGTAAGGAGAAAGCCGGGTAAATGAGTCTGGACAAACTATCCGTTGTAGAAAGTAGAACCCTTCCTAAGATTGTGACATCGCTCTGCAGCCACCTATTTAGAATTGACTTACATTTGTCTGATTCCACGTATTCATATAGCCAATTGTTCTTTTCCCTTTGGAAATAACAATTCCCAAGTATTTAACCTGCTTCTTAATTTTTATATTATGTAGTGACTGCAGAGGATAATCATGTAAGGTTATCATTTCACATTTATCTACGTTCAACTGTAAGCCTGAGGCCTTAGAAAACTGGCTGATCGTCTGTAACGCTAAAGGGATTCGATTTTCATCCTTTCAAAATAAAGTTGTCATGAACAGAGGGTGAATGAGACCTTTCATCATCTGTGTTTACAGACCTGCTGCTTCAGCCCAACATCTCTGTGTCCTCCTCCGTGAACGGGGTCTCCGAGGCCCAGCAGCAGGGGTTTCAGGTGTCCAGGGGCTCCACCTTCACCATCAGCTGCTCCATCCAGCCACAGTACCCAGGAGGCTCCTTCCAGCTCGCCTTCACCTCCTCCATCACATCACACAACTACACCCAGCCAGCTGTCAATCACTCTGCCCACTTCCTGTTTCCTGCTGCAGAGTCCGCCCACCAAGGAACTACAGCTGTGTTTATCACCTCCATGTTTCTTCTCATGACTTCTCCTCTGAGAGCCGTCGGCTGTCTCTCACTGTCTCAGGTAAGCTGAAGCAGAGCAGCTGAAACGTCACACTGACTGTTTCCATGCAGCTTTGGAAAAGATGATCTGTCCAAACTGGCGTTTTCCTGCCGTGCCCGGTGTGTCTGTCACTTTTTAGATTCCCCTGGAAACAGTTTCCGCTGTCTTCTGTGCTACTTGCAGCGTTCCTGTTTTGTTTTCTTACTCTGCAACACTTTTTCTAAATGCTGTGCATGTGTTGTTGTATTGGTTAAATAACGAGGAGATCTGCTGTATGTTGACATCATTCTCACTGTCTTCGCCGCCCTCCTCCTCCCGAACAGGCAGCTAGCTAAACTAAGCAGTAAGACCTGCATCAGGGTCCTCCACCATGTCCCCACAGCCAGCACTAGCCGAAGCCATCTTGTCTCTGGGTTTTGCAGGTGGGAAAAGCAGGGGTCGGTTTTTGAAGCCACCGACACCCTGAAGCTCTGTTGCAGAGTTGTTAGCATGGAGCTGCTCACAGGAGTCAGTGAGCAAAACCTGGGCATGTTTAACTCCCACTCCAAGATGCAGAGATCCTGCATCCTAGTGTGGAAGGGAAACAAGTCGAGTTTCTTTCCCACAGGCCAGAATCAGACACCAAGCCAAAGCCTGCTTAAATATGATTGGTCGATACTACCTGGACTACAAACTGAAACAAGAAAGCTTTCGATACCAAAATCTTGTCTCTTGCCTCCAGATTCTGCGTTCAGATATCTGTTGATTCCTGATGGACTGAAGTGGTTTTGGGAGATTTCAGGTCACTACAGTTTGTGTTTAACAGGAGCTGATGGACTCATGATGTTGTGTGATGTGATGTCTGTCCATGTGTTTGATCAGATCCAACAGGTCTTCTCATCAAAGTGGTCGTCCTGCCGCTGACTCTGCTGTTGGTGATCGCTGCCCTTTGTTTCTACTATAAGGTACTGACACATGTCTGTTGTTTAGAGGACTGAGATGAAGCACTCGGTCTGTGTTTACTGACCTGAAGAAGAGGAGGAGTGATGCACTAACTCTCATGTGTGCTGTCATGTCTCTCCAGGCCAGCAGGGGGCAGAAGCCGGGCAGGCAGGAGAACATTGAGCTGGATTATTATAACGTGGGTGTTTCTGCAGCTGAAGAGGAAGGAGCTCAGGGAGCAGAGTAGGACCTCCAAGAAGCTCATCTCAGCTGCCTCACAACCCACCATCAGCTCAGTCAAGGATTTTACACTTTTATACTGATGTTCCCTTTAAAGATATTGTGTTGTGATAAATCTTACCACCTTCTATGTTGTTGTTTTTTTTAATTTGTACTGAAAATGTCATGTCTTCCCACCCTCTGTTGAACCATGGTTGGCATTGTCAAGGAAATTATGTTCCTGGTAAGGGATTAAACATATAATTGAGTTACAACCAACTGTTGTCTTATTTTGTCTTTGTCTATTAGCAAAAAGAGAATAAACAGAGAAGTACTAAAACACATAGACAGCTGGTCCAGAGACCTGCCGCCGAGGGCAGCTTCAGGCGTCAGCATAATCATTTACACAGTCTAGGTTTCTATGTTTTGGGGAACAGAGATCCTCTCTCGGCCTTGAATGAATATTCCAGGAGAGGAGAGGAACAACAAGAGGGGGAAAACACCAAAACAATCTCACAGCTCTGACCTAAACCCTAGTAAATGTGGACAGACTAACATAAGGAGAATAATAGATGAAAGGTTAAGGATAAAAACAAAATGCATATATATCTGTAAGACATAACAATAATAATAATATTAAAATACCATACATGAAAGATTAAATGTAAGAGGACACGATTTTCTGCCATAACAAGCATCATCAGTGCCTCAACAGTCTGGACCCAGGTGACCCAAACAATTACCACCCAATCTTTAATCTACCTTTCCTCAATAAAATCATGGAAAGAGCTGTGGCTGTCCAAAACCATGTGTTCTACATGATAAACTATTTGAATCTCACCAATCTGGTTTCGGTGTGCATCACAACACAGAGACTGCTCTCTATCCTCATCCTCTTTTACCTCTCTGCAGCCTTTGACGCAATCTCGCACACCCTCCTTAACAGCCTCTCTGACATATTGGCCTTACTGGCACCTTTAAAGACTTAAACATCACGCTGGTGCCAGTTAACAATGGTGTGCCCCAGGGATCTGTACTTGGTGAACCCCTTCTTTTCAATATCTACATGCTAACCCTTGGCTAGATTACATGGACTTAATTTCCACTGCTATGCTGATGACCCTCAGCTGTACATAAGCAACCAACTCTCAACCCAGCTGTACCCTTGCCACTTGTTAACTGCCTGCGAGACACAAAGACTTGGACAACTGCTAACTTCATCAAACTCAACAACAATAAAACTGAACTCATGGTGGTGGCTCCAGCGTCGCTGCTGAAGAAGGTCTTTGATGTCCTCCTGGAGGTAGATGGCTGCTCCATTTCTGCATCACCAGAAATGTGAAATCCGGGAATCATCCTGGACTCACCCTTCCATCCCAGTCTCACACCAGTAGTATCACAAAATCTGCTTTACAGGCTTCGGCCATACCGACCCAGGCGGATCTGGAACAATGTTAGCACAATACCGTTCAAATCAAATTAAATAAAAGTGAAGCATGTCAAGCACATTTAGCTCAAATCTGACAAAAAATCATCAAAATTATACAAATGGGAGCAAGAACACCTTTTTATGATACATTTTGTGTATTTCATAAGAATTCTGATTAATTTTGTAACTTTAAAAATTTTTCAATTAAGGTTTTAGGTGATTTCATAATCATGTTGAATCATTTGGTAAATAAGTTGCTTATTTTGTAAGAATTTCTCTTGTACTTTAAGTATTTTTTGCACATTTTGCTGTGAAATATCCTCATAACTAACTAAATAACCTGAATAGAAATATGAAGATGTGTGTAGCAGGAGCCTTCAGAGATCATAAAGATGAACAAATGAATAAAAATTTGATGTTTATTCTGCGTGGAGAGGACATCATTTTAGGACGTCTGTTAACCAGTTAAAGATGATATGAGGACATTTTTATGTCAAAATAAGAAATGAAACACACCCTTGTGTTGCACAGAGAGATGTGGAGACAGACTTTCAGGGTTTTTGAAGTCGGGTCCAGCGGATCATTATTGGACGTGAAAAGGACGGCACCATGTGACCCTCTGCTCACAACCATTAAACAACCAAAACCTGACGTCATCAGGAGACATTCACACTCACCTGTGCAGGTGTGTTTGCTGGGAGGTTCAGTACACAGAGAGATGAGATGATGGAGATCAATAAATGTCTCACTGTCATCTGCTGTGTTCATACCACAATGGAAATGAGTTTGTAACTTTCTTGTGTTTTCCTCGACAGTTCTGATAAATGTATAAAATCACTGTGATGGCATCTTATAAAGCATTTATTTTTGTTACTGCCTAATAAATCAAAATCAAATCAAATCAAAAAATCATAGTCAATAAAGGAAGTTTCATAAACTGTGAGACTGTGTTTTCAGCTTGTGTATCTATCCGTACGACGTTGACACAAACGTCCACTTGGACTCAAAGATGAACTGATTAGAGTTTAGGGGTCAAAGGTCACTGTGACCTGAAGGTGGCCTTGACAAACATGTTTTTGTCATAACTCCAGCACAGATGCAGGGGTTCTTACAACATTTCATACAGATGTTTCACGGGAAACAACAATGAAGTGATGATTTTTTACCCAACAGGTCAGAGGTCAGCTTCACTGTTTTGGCCATTATTCAACACCATAACTCAGGAACAGAAGGGGAGCTTGTGACCATATTTCACACTGAGTAGGTGGCACTTTCTCAAAGGTCACTGACCTCAAAATAGGTTTTCAGTCATAATTTCAGAACGAATTGAGCGCTTCCGGATTTCACACGTTACCAGGGGCAACACAATGAGTAAACAATAACCAACACAGTTAATATATACATAATACTAAATTAAAATACACAATACAAAATACTAACATCACCTCCTGCCCTCAACTGGTACTGATTTATCTCTTAACTCAGGAACCTTAGAAACAGCTGTAGAACCAGATATATGTTTAGACTGTTTTGCTTCCCTCAATCTTTATCAACTAACTTCAATAATTTCTTCATCTAAACCATCAACCTGCCTCTTAGACCCCATCCCGACTAGGCTGCTTAAAGATGTTTTACCCTTAGTCAGCACCTCTATACTAGATATGATCAATCTATCTTTATCAACAGGCTATGTACCACAGTACTTTAAAGTAGCTGTAATTAAACCTCTTCTGAAAAAGCCCAAACTTGATCCGGATGTTTTAGCCAACTATAGACCTATATCTAACCTTCCATTTCTCTCTAAGGTTCTGGAGAAAGCAGTTGCTAAACAGCTGTGTGACTTTCTACAGAGCAATAGTTTATTTGAGGATTTTCAGTCAGGATTTAGAGCTCATCATAACACAGAGACAGCACTGGTGAAAATTACTAAGGACCTCCTTATTGCATCAGACAAAGGACTTGTCTCTGTACTGGTTTTATTAGATCTTAGTGCTGCATTTGATACCATTGACCATCAGATCCTATTGCAGTGACTGGAACATTTAACTGGCATTAAAGGATCATTTAAGTAAACATTTTGTTCCGTTACTCTAAAACATGTTGTGAAGAATATGATACAGAGTGTTCACATTTACACAACCTGACCATGACTTGTGTGTCTGTGTCTCTATATTTATGTGACTTCAGTGATGAGTGGAGAAAGACTATGGACAGCCAGTAGTTAGTGTGTTCTTCAACCAAACACAGTGCTGGTTCAAGCCTTCAATGAACACAGAAGAAGAAGAAGAAGAGAGCAACAACGTTGGTTGTGTTTAGGTGTAAGCTCTATTACGAAACAAAATATCTGGACCTCAGTCATCTCTAAACCCTGATGAGGACACCAGTCAGTCATCAGACTAGAGAAGGACTGTTCATTGGTAAGTTACAGAAATAAAACATGTAGTAAGAAACACTGAGTTGCAGTGAGATCACCTCTGTTAGGAACTGAACTGAAACACCTTGTAGAAAATAATTTCCTCCATGCAGATGTTTTGCTCTTGTTTTTATGGGATCTGAAGAGGAAACAGGTTTGGAGACAATCAGAAACATATCTATAAAAAAAGATCTTGTTGGATGTGATTCCTCAAAGTATTTCTCACGTGTCTTTCTTTTGAGTGTGTTCCTAAATATTTTGGATTGATATGTGAAACTTTAAACAGGTCAGACGGTCCTGCTTCATGATGGTGATGTTTGAATTTATTTGGAAAAAACCTCAATGGACAAAAATGTTTCTAGTTTTTGGCAAATTCCACAAGTATGAAAACTGATATGAACCTTTATCATCACTCTCTAGTCAAGCTGTAAAATAGATAAAGAAATAATAGAAAAGCAACAAACAATATTTAAAACCTCATGTCCTGATGTTATTGTTATCCGCCTCTTCATTTGTTTATTTTTATTATTGTTTGGCTCGATAAGACAACGTACATACTCATATTTGCTTGACTGACGCATTGAAAATGCTGTCAATTAAAATGTAATTTGTCCTCCTGTTCACCTTCTTTATGAGAATAAATTGCACTGCATTCAGGTAGCATATTAGTATGATTCCTGATTAAACATATTTGAGGCGTTCTTTTGCAGAAACAGAATCTCCATTTGTGTTTCTGATCCTGAATCTGGTCCCTTTTGTGTGCCCTGCAAATGTTCTTAAATTGTGTTTCTTTTGCGAACTTCAGGGAAAGTCAAACAAACGGGTGTTTGTTTATTCAGAAAGGCTTTAAGCCTCTGATACTCAGAGGTAATATTTTGATTTATTTTACACAATAGTAGGCCTATTCATTTCAAACCGTTTGATCCTTCTGCCATGTGAGTCGGCGTTTCTCATTTCTCCAGTTTTATGTACGTACTCATGGTTCAGAGTTTACTTACAGGACGCACGTTCTGCCGTCAAGTTTGTTTTTCATAGATCACAACTTTGTCTTGGGAAGTGGCGTGCGCATGTTTCCAGCCCTGTTTTGTTCGTACGCTCCGTTTATAAATGAGGCCACTGGTCTTATTAGGCCACAACTGGTTTCCTCTGTAGTTTTAGTAACTAACTGAACAGTAACAGTAATCCATCACATCTGATTTCTTTCTTTTTGTATAAAATAGAACAAAGTGTGAAATCCAACATTTTCACATTTAGAGAAAAGACTGAAGAGAAATCACAGAGAGATCAGAAACAATCCAGCACTGATCCACTTAAGTTACTCTGACATGTTCAGTCACTAACACCCTGTTGGCTTCACTGGACTATGACTAGTGTCTTTACTGGGACCTGTGTGGACCTGGATCTAGTCTCAGAGTCCTGTTTCTGTGTTTTAAAGTC